CCCCAAAACCCCAAAACCCCAAAACCCCAAAACCCCAAAAATTAGAGCGAATACAGAAATTTTAAATTTACAAAATGAGCGACAACCATAAAGGCAGTCCTTCTGCTTCAAAATATCTTGTATTATGCAACTGCAGAGATGTGAGTGCCTTCCATGTTAATTTATTGAAACCCCTCACTGGAACTTGTTCCTAAAACAGAGATAAATCACTTCATTCTTCAGACTAGGGATAATTTAGACTAAATTTAGGCTACATTTGGGTCAAACCTCCACAGAGTTACCATTGATGATACAGTTTCAGACTATCTATACTCCTTAAACCCAAAATTTGCCACTGGTAAAATTCTGATAATTCCTAGGGAGGATTATCTTACTCAGAGAAAGCAAGATACTTGGTAAGAACTCCATGAGTAATTCCTAGTGAAAAATTCCTACAGAAAGGAGCATAAAAAGGTAAGCTACAGGCTAACCTTAGACCTATGATAAAGTCTACTGAAAGGCATGTAACAGCAATATCGGCTATGCTTTTACTCCAGTCCGTAAGCCCTTTTCTTATATGTATATGTAGAGGTTCAAACCCACCAACAAGAAAGATGTCAGGTACTCTTATTCTCTAAATTTAGAAATCTTTTCAACTAAAGAAAGGTATTCAAATATCCACGCTGATCATCTAGAGATAAAAGAGGAAGCTCTAGGAAAAAGCAATCAGGAGAATTTGCACCCGAGCAGCCATATTGTAAGACAAAGACTAGTTTGACTTTTAGGCATCAGCAGTCAATGTCTCAAACACACTTATCCAAAAGAGGCTTTCCTTCTGTAGGACTTACCTTTTACTCCGTAAAAATCTCAGAAGAATGGAGAATTTCGACATAATTCGGGAGAAGTTTCAAGCTGAATACTATGGGTATCCCTCAGAAGATTCCTTACCAGTAACTTTTGATACTAATTACAGCACCAGATCTCAGCGGGTGCACTCAGTACAGATCATACTACCAACGAAGGAGGGAATAGGATACTTCGAAGTACAGAAGAGTCGAAGACCAAAGAGGGGTCCCTCCACTCTTGATACCCTAATATATTCAGAACTAAGGTAACACTGAGCTTCTAACCTCCTAGGACCAGTCTAGCTCCATTCGTGATAGTGACCTCATGATCGAGTTGAGCAAGGAAAAATAAGCGTAGAAGTTCTTCATGAGGCAAAATAAGGTAGCATTAAGAACCTAATTAGTCATAGAGACATCCACCTCCATAAGACTTCCTTTGTAGACTTGAGAAGTGAGTTTAAAACCCTCAGAGACAAAAGACCGGATAGTCAAGTCAACAGGATTAGTAGAGAATATCAAGGTAATCCTTTGCTTATTTTGTAGAGTCCAAGGCAAGTGAGAATGAGTCCTCCTCCAAAGAACTAGCAAGTCTTCAAAAGAAATTTGAAGAGTTTCAGAAGCATACAAACAAAAGAATAGAACAGGTATATTGCTTGGTTACTAAATTTCAGTTAGAATCATACATTTTTGATCACCGTAAAGATATACCCAGTGCAGCTCTCAGCACCAAGAGTAAAAGCTGCTTTAAATTCTTAGGCAAATTCAAGGATAAGTTATCCCCAATACAAGATAATTGAGAAGACCATGACTGCCACTGCTCGCTAGACGATTACAAACCAAAAAGAAAGGCTAAAAGAAGTGAGACTGACATAACAGAAAATGAGTTTGAACTTATAACTTTAGTGAGAGAGATGGTTAAACAGAAGTAATTACTTTTCAAAAACATCTGCTTATTTAGAGCACTATCCCATGTCTCAATAATAGGTAAAATCCAGGGGTTTTGGGGTTTTGGGGTTTTGGGGTTTTGGGG